AAGCGCTGATTATTAGTGTTTAAAATGCATGTTCATATATTTTAAACACCCTAAAACAAACCCTCTTCTGACAATAATTATTAATATCATATTTTTAATACTATTAAAATATTTTGTGATTAAGCCTTTTTCTTTATTTCTGCTTTAGAATTTATTGCACTGAATTACTTCTACTTCTTGGGGTAGTAAACCATCATTGACATTTTTATTTTTATTTATATATTTTTCAAATAAAAATCCATATACATTTATTAATCAAAATTTGAGGATACAATTTATTTCATAACATTTTATATTTTATAATATACATTATATATATATATATATATATATATATATATATATATATATATATATATATATATATATATGATAATTAATTCAGAAGAAAGAAAGAAACTAATTACCTATATGAAATGGTGTTGAAGTGATTCTTTAAGTCCTATTTAATGTAATTAGATGAACAATAAATCTTTTAGAGATAATTTTTGTCATAAAACATGGTTATATTTTAAAATTTTTGGAGGGCTTCAGCTCGAAGGTCCATCCATCCCCCCCCCCTCACTCCCCCTATCCCGTAGATCGTATGAAATGTTACTTACTGTGAAGACATTTAAAAATAGTCTGAAATGTAGTCTCGTTCTAAATCTGAACTGTAGCATCGTTTATATAGCCATTATTTTACATTTCTTAACTCACTAGCCAGTCATTAATCTTTTCAGAGGAGATAAAATGAATTCTAAGGGCCATAATTTTATATTAGTAATTATATATTCTGCTCCAACTTAATTAACTTTTGGGACGTTTTCTACATTAAAAGTAAAGTGAGGCTAACTCGGGTCTCTGTGGTTAATAAATCAAGGCGTAGCCATTAAGGCAATGATGTTGGCCTTAGACCCAAATTAAATTAAAACACATGGGATATCACCGGGAAGAAACCAAGAAGAAATAAAGTTTTAGAAAGAGTTTTTATCTCACCGTACTTGACGAAAAACGGGTGTTTTTTTTTCCGGCCGTCCAGCGTGGCAGGGGAAATTCCCTTTCTTTACCTGTCAGCTGTACCACCATTTACCGCTGTGCTACATCATTTAACTCAACGGTTCCGTGTAAAATGGTTCTGAATTATACCTCAGCCCAATTATTATGACACCTTTAATTTTTTTTTATATCCCTTTTCGAATGATTTATTTTACAGACTTATTAAACTCTTTTTTTCTTTAATTATGTTATATTTACCATATTAATTATAATAATAATATTATTCATTAAAGAGAATTTACCATCAATTGTGTAATTATCAACACATTTGAAAGGTCAATGAATTTGATATGTGTTCAACATTTTCATTACCTTTAATGTGACATCAATCCAGTAACTCCCACCACAAAAAAATAAATAAAGAACGATAACAATACTTATTGTTAAAAAACGTTTTTGTTATTTTTTTTTATTCCTCTATTTTTATTTTTTTATTTAAAGTTGTTATTCCTCTTATACCACAGAATTATAATAACTCTTTTTTTTTAACTTAATATTTTAATAGTTATTTTTTTAATGTAAAGTAACATCTAATAGCTTCATTCCATCGTAACCTGCAGCTATTTTATTTACGAAAACTCCTGCAATTGGGGCGTTTTCAATCTGGAGGGAGGCAAACTTTTTCTATTTAATTAGGTACTAAAAACTCGTAAATATCTATTTGCTTTCTACTTGGATAGTAAGATAATATGATCAAAAAATCGATAAAAAAGGTGGCCTACAAAAATATTGGACCGTTTGTCCTATATATATATATATATATATATATATATATATATATATATATATATATATATATATATGTATATATATAAGATAATTTGTTCACAATATCAAGATAAAATGTGGCTTAAAAAAATATTGGGCCATTTGACATAAATAACAACTTTAATTTGACATGTTGGGAATGGAAGTCCCGCCCTTGTCCAATAGTTTTGTAAGCCACCTTTTTTTATCGATTTTGGCATCAAATTATCTTACGATTCAAGTGGGAAACAGATGAGTGTTCATTATTCAAGTACCTCATTACATAGAAAAAGTTTACCAATTGAACTACTTTGAAAAAAAAAACTCATTTACGAGAACGTTCGTATACAAAAAAGTTCCGTCTGCAAGATGTATTTTCAATTTTTTTTTCTTTATTCAAAAACAAAACAGTCATAAAAAACATCATTTCAAAAATAATTTTAAATTACATATGCATACAGTATACTGCTCGGCGGTTGTGATTGTTTAATTAAGTGTAAAATGTTTCGTTATTTTCTTTTTTGCTCCAAATCTCCAGTCTTTTCAACTCCTCATTCTATTAAAAATATCACTTAATTTCATTTCCCTTCCTTTCCAGTCACCTTCATATTGTCTTTACTAACTAATCTGGTGTCTTACTCACAATTAATCTATATTGTGTTTAATTTTAATTTTGATTTGATTGATATTAATTTTAAAATAGATAGTATATGTAAAGTTTAAAAACAATATTTAAATGAAACAATAGAACTAGAGGTAGCTGAAGGCAACAGGTAGAGAGGGAATCTCGCGTAACAGGTACATTCGTTTATAAAAAACATTCCCGAAAATAACGAGATTAAAGAGTTTTTAAAAGGAAATTGTAGCCGTTCCAATCGGAGTTTTCCAAAGTGAGTTGGAAAAGTGCAGTAGATGATCTAGATGAGAGGTGTGGGACAAGATGGGAAAGATGAACATAATGGCTAGGGAAGAGAAATTAAGAGCCGAATTAGGGGAGTAAGGGGACACGGTAGGGGAGGGCTTTTTCTATAGCTTCACTTTTTTAATGAACAGAAAAAGAGGACTCGGGACCAACTGCCTCGTTGAAATTACTTCCCTCTTACATTTTATGTATTTTATCATACACATTATCTGGATTTTATGAAGTAGATTATATTTTAGTAATTAACTTTGCCGATTAGTAAACAAATTAGACAATGGAGTAAAAAATTTGTGCTCATTAATTTTAAAACAACTAATTCTAACCCAGTTTAAATTAATATAAATTCATCAATTATTTATCACTACGGAATGCTAAATCCTGTTAAATTTAACCCTTAGCGGTACTTACTTATTTTTAAAACAATTACTAATTCATGTGGATGATTATCAGTCAAGATTTGCATTATATACACCGTTTATTAGGCTTATTTACATTACGTTATAATTATCCCTTTGTTTATTTTAATTATTAAAAAAAATCATCTCATTTATTCTTAACTCTGTTGCTTTATGCACACTACTTATTTTCTTGTACTAATATTCTAGTTAATTTATTTTGCACTATTTATATACTTAGCTATAATTACTTAATTTTTATATATTTTTTTTCGTTTACATTGCCATTATATTATATTTCACCTTTTAATTTTTGCTTATTTATATCTTATATTTCTTATGCCATACCAACCTGAAACGACAAGATACCGTTCGACGTTTCCGATTACTTCAGCACTTAACTAGACAAACGCTCTAAACTTCCAATTAATTACCAAATACTCATATATATGACTATAATAAGGCCATTTTGATTTAAGGAATTGAGCTATGGGCCTCCCTTAAACCATCGAATTTCTCTCATATCCAATCCTTACAATTCAAAATCCTAATTGCTCCTTAATTTGCTACAAATAAAAACATCTATAATGACCTTAATGTTTCTTATGTTTCAGATCTGGCCCAATCCAGATACCTATCCTTCCATAATAAACTTCAGAATCATCCCAATCCTATCATTTCTAACCTTGCTTCCTCTTCATTCCTGATAACCCTCCGAGGTGTTTGAAAATAAGATGGCCCCGTGATCTCCTAATGTAGACATATTATTAGAGTGCTGCCATTGGGTAGTTTCTCAACAAGTGTTTTCATGTCATTGTATTCATATGTTCAAATTTACTAAATGTAGTACTAAATATCATTAAGAAATAAAAAAAAATGTATTTTTTTGACATTTAACTCCGATGATGACCACAACCTAAAAGATTTATAATGTATAAAAAACAATCAAATGCATAATAAAATACGAGTATACAACACCAAATCTGAAATAAAATTTAAACAACAGCGGAAAAGCTGTGAAAAATCTTTCAGATATTTAAAAACAATGAAATTCTGTAACAGAGGTAAAGTTTTTAACAATGACCCTTCAATGAGAGGAGATGCAAAAAATAATAATAATAAATATAAAGATTTAATTAAACGCGGAAAGAAAGTTTAAATATCATGTTCTGAATTGTATGTAACTTACAGTGACATAGCTTTTTTATAAGAGGTATAAAAACACATGAGGGTTTCATAAGTGCTGGTATTTACCATTGAGATAAAAACAAAAATAACATCATGGAGAAGTACGCTTCTGTGTTTAAAGGGTTCGATATAAAGCTTATATCAATTCTGATATTAGTTGATTATTTTCAAAGCACACCCTAATACATTTTTTTTAAAGTATCTTTTCCTTCTAAAAACATCCAAATGAATCGGAAGGGGCAGTTATTTATGTATTAATTTTTTGAAATGTGTGAAAATAAGTTTATTTCTGAAACACGTCAATTGTTTTCGAGGATTTTCATGAAATTTACGTTTCTTGAGTCTTCTTAAAAAGCTTATTAACCGTTTTAATTAAATGAAAATTAAAAAGAAATAAATTTGATTTTTCTTTTTTTCTTTTCTCCCATATGAGTAAAAAATAAAGACTTTTTTAAATATTGGTTTTGATACTACAATTGGAATAAAAAATGTCGTTTAGCGTTTTCTGATAAATTTTCAATGCTGATTAGGGTTTTTTAGAAATGAACGACTCGTATCTATATCGAAGATTGTTAAAGTACCATTTTTTTTTTTTATTATTATTAAAATGAAACTTAATAAGGAGTAAATATTGCTAAGATGATTATTTAAGAACTTGTTAATTATCGTGTTCATTTTGAAGAATAACAAAGTGATAAGTGACTAATAATATGGAGACGAAGGGATCGGTAAGGCACTAAGGTAAGTGACTAGACGGGATTTGATGATCGGGAGTACGGGGTCATTATGTTGTAGAGTGCGGCCGCTAGGCACGTGAGCCCTCACGTGTCTAACGGTATCGACTACGGAGCAGAAGGAGAGTACACTCGGCGCCCCCCTCCACTGCGGCTTCCCCTCCGCCGCCCCCCCACTCCCGCCCCAGTATCATCCCCACCCCGCCCCTCCGCCTGTCGCTCATTCAGTGGCCGATCTTCCGTCTGTCAGGGTTGTGGCTGGTCTTGACACTTACGGCGTATCAGGTGGACAGTGACAGGATTACATTTCATCCACTCCGTGGACGTCGCATCGCCGCAGCAAGCCTCTTCGCGAGAGTGAACAGTTTTATTTTTTTTATTTGATTTTTTTTTTTTTTTTTACAAGTTCCGAAGTGTCTTGTGTTTGCCTTCTTTTTCTAAAAGAGGAAGAAAATTACAATAAAAAAAATATATTGATAACAAGAAAAAGTTCTGTGGGATTTAGTGAAACAGTCGGATTATGCGCAAATGTTCCTTGAAGACTTCACAGAAGTTTTTGAAAAGGAGAACGTAGACTTTGGGAACTCTTTCAGTCTCCCATGCTTTGGTAAGTACCTGATTTTTTTTTTTAAATTAATTTTTAGTGTCAATAAAAGTGTACGGATTATTGTTTTTCCAATATTCGGATTTTACGCGATGATTACAGTGGTATTTAATTTTAAAATTAAAAAGTGCTTTAATTTTAAATTACAAAATTTGGGCGCTATCTGTATATTATAGATTTTTAATCAGAGATAAGTCAATAAAAAAATATACATTTACATTTTTCGTTTTAATTACGTTTAAGATCAGCATTAAATGACAGAATGACAACAATTTTCAAATGTATTACTTTTTATTTATAAAACGTATTTTCAAATTTAAAATATACTGCATAAGTTTAAATTAATCGTCAAAAGCCAAAAAAAAAAGAATTGATATCTGTAATTAGATTAAAATTGAATAATTAATTTTAATCTATGCGCTGAGTGAAAGTTTATATTTTTTTTAAAATGATAAAATGAAAACAAGTACAGAAGTTAGGACTTTTTATTCGAGAAAAAAAAATCTGATCGCAATTATGATTAATTACTAACAACATCGATTGATTACATTTGATAAAATAATATTTAAACAAATGAAATTAATGTATTATATGCCATCAATAAAATATGTGTTACGAATAAAAATTAATTATCGCTAAGTATAATCCTAACGTAATTTACCGTGTCAGAGTTATTATTTTCCAATAATTATGATTCCTCGAGAAAAAGAAGTTTATTCTATCTAGAATCGTAGAAAAACAAACGAGGAAAAAAAAACGTATCACAAAACTATTAGTTTAATATGGGTTATTAAATGGCCATGGGTGCATTTAAATTATATATGAGGGGTTATTTAAACGGGGAAGAGTTAGTTCGAGTTGAATCCCCCAGGCGCGCCACCTCCCAGCCCTCACCTAGGAGAGAACGGCTTTTCGCAACACTTAGCGAAATTCGTCCTTCGGCAACCTTGGCCAGATTCCGTTCGACTTTCCAATCTTTACCTCAGAGCCACAATATCCAAATCCAAATCAACCTGTATTTGAGATTAATCCATCTGACTTACAGAGTGTTTGTCGTGTCACGCTTAAATAGTTCAATCGGCCTTGGTTTTTATTTTCCTTGTCCGTCCTCGGAGTATCATCTGTTTTACTATTTACTTATCCTTTTACAATATCTACCAATTTATACAAAATTAATTATTTTAAGTAATATTTTAACATGTCTTTGACTTCTGTGTATCATGAGACGCAAAGTGGATTTTAATTCAGAGAACATGACAATAATCCATGAAAATTAATTGATAAATTTTATAAGAATTAAAGTGGCCCGTGATTTAGTTTAGACCAGTTTTTCGGTATAAAGTTCCGCATAATGTAATCGTCTATTATCCGTGTAGCCGTACGCAATTAACTAAATTCTGTGGTTTTGTGAAGAATTTTTTCCTCGTTTTCAAAATAAGAATATTTTTAATTTTTTTTTTTGTTTTAATGAACGATTATTAAGTAATCTAGAAACTTCTGAAGTATTAAATCGGCCATTCGCATAAAATCATGATAACAAAATTATAGTAATGTATTGTATCTATGAATGGATAATTCTCAGGAAATCCGCATACCCAATCTACCCAATAGGGACGTGGTGTAACAAGAGTGAGTTCCTAAAGTGGGCAGAGAAGTCCCTGTAGAGTTTCCCCTCGGTTTGCCCCGGTCTGGATCCTATCTGGGACGCCTTATTACGTAAACATGGCTTGACTTAAACGCTACTTGGCAGTCCACTTTGCTTGTCTCTATTTACTTTAATCAAAAGCTCATCTTCAACTCCAATCGCGAGCGCCCGGCACACTCAATAAGTGAAACAATTATCTTTGCATCGCCCATATTGTGCTTTCTAAATTGATTTACTCGTAATATTAGGAAACAAGAAAATCGTATAGACGCTTACAAAAACAATAAATAAATTGTTAGTAAATATATATGTGTATTAAAAAAAGTTTTAGTTTCGATATATTTCACCATAATAAATTTTTTTTTTTTTTTGGCATGAGAAACTCTGTATACTTCGCCAACAGATACGGGCGTACTATCTCTTCCCCTCAAGTTCCCACACTCCTCTTGTCGCTTAAAACTAATTTATTGTAAACGTACGTGCCTCAGTATGGCATTTAGAATTAATTGATTTGGATGTTCCTGACTCTTTATTATGGATAAACTGTGTTATTAAGCCAGTGATCATTGTATCAGAGCTCCTGTTTACTTTACAAAATAGGCCTGTTCCATTTAGTTGACCTTGCCACGCGCCTAAGCCTTCGGCAGACCTATTCAGGTCATCATTGTTCCGAGAACTATACTAATTAATTATATCTTTTATTGGCTAAAATAATAAAATACGATTTATAAAAAAAATAGAGCTGTTTTTATATCCTTAAAAATTATTATAATTAATTTATATTTTCGTTGATAAAATTTTAATTTAGCTCAAATTCATAAGCTCGGAACTGAGAGCTGTTAAATACTGATCAGTGCGCGATTCCCCTATCGCTTTAGCCTGTTCGCCTTATGTGGTACGAAAGACGGGTACGTGAAACGGCCGCTAGGAGCAGCACCTCCTGACTCGAAAGGATCTAAACGAAGGCTAATCAAACATGTTGGTTTCTTGTGTCCCTTCTGGCTGTTGTGGCTTTTATGAAGTAATTCCTCAGTTAGGAAACAATCTGCGACTGATACGATGCGCTTGAAACATGGTAATCGTACTTGTCATATATATTATTTTTCTTTTCATTACGTGACCGTTGATCCTTTGTTTTTGTTTATAATTTTATATTGAGAGTAGTTTGTTGACAAATAAAATTATATCCGTGGTAAACAGTCGCTTTAAATATTCTTTAGTGGACATTGTGTTTTCCCTCTTATCTGTGTAATCCCTATTGAAAAAAAAATCTTTTACAAATAATTACGAACAAAAACGTATTTTCTCCTCGAAAGTAAAAAGTTTTTTTTCGTAAATTTTAAATTTTATTTTTCATATTTACTCCTATCGATTCGCCATACAATTATTTTTTATGCTGTATTATCAGTTTTTTTTTATTCTCGCTATATATTTTCTGCTTAGATGCAATTTAGTTTCGTATTAAAAGAGTCAACAAAAAATTAAATAAGAAATACCATTTTTTCTTTTCTTCTAAGTTATATCTCAACGGTGTCATACGCTTCCTATTGATCAATTGGATACAGTCCTAAACGCGGTGTTGTACGAAAAAGAATAAAACCTTACATCTGGTAGAGGACGTGATTTTTTTTTTAATCCACGGAACATTTTTATACTTTGTAATTAGAGCCAAGGGAGGATTGTGTTATATTTAATCCCTCAAGGTCGTTCACTTCCCAGTTTGTAGTATATTTAACTCGTCACTTCTACAAGACCATTTTTCAAAACAATTATGCCGTACCAGATGTGTCCCTTGTTATCTATATCCTCTATACAAATCAGTCATTTTCACTCACACATTTTATTAATTTAAATTAAAAATAAAATTGTAATTATAATAAGATTAGAAGCAATACAATTATTATGATGTAAACATTAATTTGTACAAGTTCGATAAGATCGTGTGGAAATTTTAAAAATACTTTTATACGCGTTACGCCATTACTGTGTTCAACTTGCTTGTTTTTGTTAACATTACACGATTTTATATTTTTCATATAGGTCAGAAGTAGTTAGGAAATGATTTCTCTCTTTAGCCATATTTTTATTTCAATAAATTAGTTTATAATTTATTGAGATACGTTATATTTTTATAATTATTATTAAAATAAAGGAGGTGATGTATTTTCATAAAATTGTCGGATTATTCTCGGTGTTTTTGTAGAAATTTTTCCCTCCGAGGGATTTTTCTTTTTCATCCAGCTTGCCTGCCAGCTCTATCGCCCGGGTTAGCATGAATTAAACATTAAGTAAAGGGTGACCGAAGAGAGCTTACACCTTTTTAACTTGCTGCTCTGGGATAGAGAATACTGTTCAGTAATCGCGCTTATTTTTCGTTTGTTGCATATCGACTGCTTCCAATACAGCTGCCAAGTTTATTGATGAGATTTTAGCTATTGGTCCATTTTATTGGGATAAAAAAATATCTTATTATTTTATATGCTTTTCCTGTTTGTTATTGAATCATCTGTTGTGATCGTTTAATATTTTTCCAAGGCGATATTGCAATGGTAACAATTATATATACACTTATATAAAAGTATCTTATGAAAAAGCTCTTAGATTACATGATTTTAAATAAGCGATAGAATAATATTTTGTTTTTTATAGAAAAAAAAAATTATTATTATTAAATATATATATATATATATATATATATATATATTTATAATAATAAATTATTCGAAATATATATTAACTTAGACAAATAGGGAAGTAATCGTATTTAATCAGGCGTTTATGAAGAAGAATCTTTTAGTTGAGGAAATTTCCTATTTTCCTCCATCAGATATCTTTTTCGAACGTGCTCATTTCACCACGACCAGGGCAGCAGACTAACAACTTCCTGTCACTACGTCACCATCAGCTGCTCCGTGGTAACTACCCATATCTGTCCGCTTGTATACCACTCAATGGCACGCCATCTTCAACACCTTTCCACTCAAGAGGATAATTCCTCCGATAACATTCAACTGGTAGC